TGAAAATCGCTTAGGTGATTATCGCGTAATAATCACCTCAACGGCAACCAATCAGCGTGGAGAATTTTCAATAATCACCTATGTAATTATACTAACTATAGTTAACTTTAATCACTTTTTTATACAACCGGGTCCCTGAACACTAGAGTGAAACTAATGACTTCGACACGAGCGAAAATGTTACCATACGTTACGATATGGTTGAAGTGGGGGACAACCTTTAAGGCCCATTTCTACTTTGGAAAATTTTTTGCAGAAAGAAAATTTTGTAAAATGTGATTGGCCGAAACAAATTTTCCGTCGGAAAAAATTTTGAAGTTCGAAATTTTCAACTTCTAACAATGATATTTTCTGAAAATTTTCTGTCCGTGGAAATTTTTCTTGAGTGGAAATGGGCCTGTGTACTGGATAGTCCGTCTGGGCGAAGCCTATGGGGTTTCGGTGGCGCATTCTTCAAAAACAAGCGCCTTACACCTCTGAGATCGTGGGTTCGATTCCCGCTACGGACTCATGACACTTATGTGTGAAAGAGTCAGTCAATGCTCTACCGAAAACCGTGGTTTGTTTTCGGGTACTCCCATTTCCTCCTACAGGGAATGTTGACAGGGTGGGTTGGGATTAGACCCCTAGCTGACCCTTACACCGTGCTTCGTGGTCAGACATGAATTACAAGGTGGCTGCTAGAGGCGCCCTTAAGGCCATGTTACACGGTGCAATTTTTCTTGCAACTTGCAATGCAATTCTACTCTTGAGAGATGTAAAATTACCAAATACGAGTCTTCATTACACTCCGCTGATGTTTTCTCAACATATCGAAAATTCTTCACAGATTTCGCTGATTAACATCTCTCAAGAGTAGAATTGCATTGCAAGTTGCAAGAAAAATTGCACCGTGTAACATGGCCTTTAGAAAGCCTTCGACTCAATCAGGTTGAGCTGCGTCCTTCGGAATTCAGCTTAGCTCTCAGCTGCAAGTAAGGATGATTAGCACACCCCACTTACTTACTGTACACCATTGACACACTGAGCTGCAGTGCGCCTAAGGGACCGGTCATTATTTATTGTTAGGGTTAGCACCGAAGAGAAATGTTTTTCTTGGTAAAAATTTCGCTGATCCAACCATTAAAATTTTACCCAACCTCAAATATCAATTGAAAAATAAATACCTACCCCTGGTCAAAAACTTTACAAAAGGATATATACCATTCAGTTGTCACAAATGTCCTTTACCACTTCTGTGACATGAGTTTGATAACGGCTTGTGCAATTTTCTGCAGTCTAAAGTTTCATGTTGTCTGCACATGTACTTTCTTTGGAGACACCATTTGCCTCCTGATAAATCGCATCAAGACAGTGACTCTGATTGATTTACATATTGTATTGACATACGACTGTTGACATTGCTTTTTAGTCTTCAATATTTGAATGAGTCGTGCTTTTGGAAATGACAATAAATCTTTATTACCCAACCTTTGAGTTGTTTTGTTTTTCATTTACCCAACCTTTTGCTCACTCGAAGTTTTGTTTACAACCCTTTTCTCTTCGGTGCCACAAATAATGACCAGTTGCGTCCTAGTTTGGTATTTTACTCTGTCTAACACCAAACGTTTTTACTCGTCAAGGGAAGGGTCTTGCACACAAATCAAGCTGCCTATATATACTTGATGAACAGTAGTAAATCTGTTACAGTACTTGAACATGCACTAACATCTTTTTCCTGCATTTTGTTTTCAAGAAGCGACACAGAAACGTTCGTCGTGTGTGTTAGTGAATAGTGATTTAATTGAGAAAATACTGGCGTATGGTCGAGAACTAAAACTACTGAGTGTTGAATTGAAACAAGAACATGGCAGTAATCCTGCCAATATAAGAGCGTTAGAGGTATGATAAAGCTATCCAGTATAAATAAAGTTAGTTTAGTTTAGGTTTCCTCCTGTAGTAACACTGGATCAATAAGAGAAGATCCTTACTGGACCTCTAGGAAGAACAGTTTAGAACTGATAGAGCTATCCAGTATAAATAAAGTTAGTTTAGTTTAGGTTTCCTCCTGTAGTAATACTGGATCAATAAGAGATGATCCTTACTGGACCTCTAGGAAGAACAGTTTAGAACTGATAGAGCCATCCAGTATAAATAAAGTTAGTTTAGTTTAGGTTTCCTCCTGTAGTAACACTGGATCAATAAGAGATGATCCTTACTGGACCTCTAGGAAGAACAGTTTAGAACTGATAGAGCTATCCAGTATAAATAAAGTTAGTTTAGTTTAGGTTTTCTCCTGTAGTAACACTGGATCAATAAGAGATGATCCTTACTGGACCTCTAGGAAGAACAGTTTAGAACCGATAGAGCTATCCAGTATAAATAAAGTTAGTTTAGTTTAGGTTTCCTCCTGTAGTAACACTGGATCAATAAGAGATGATCCTTACTGGACCTCTAGGAAGAACAGTTTAGAACTGGTAGAGCTATCCAGTATAAATAAAGTTAGTTTAGTTTAGGTTTCTTCCTGTAGTAACACTGGATCAA